CCCCAAAACCCCAAAACCCCAAAACCCCAAAACCCCAAAACCCCAAAACCCCAAAACCCCTGATTTGTCTAAACCTGTGGAAAATAAACTAGTATCTTATTAAATGCCTTTGCCTATTTGGGTATTGTCTAGAGATAAAAGAGGATACTTACTCATTTTGCTTGTGCCTAAAGGAGCGAGGGTCTGCAACTCTTCTGGGCTGAGCCTTATCCATCAGATGCTGGTCCACTCTGACATCAAAGTCATCCATATCTTTGTAAGCTTGTTCTACTATGGAATAGTTGCTATCAGAAACTTTGTCTATGTCTTGTGGATAGGAGTTTTCATGAGCTTGATCGTCTCAAAACTCTCTTCTAAATCTTTGAAGAGACATTGGTTTCGTATCTGGCTGCCTAAATCCAGAGATGAATGCTTTCTGAAGTACTTCAGGATCTCCAATCTCTTCATGGGCTTTGGCTTCGTCAATGTCATCATCAATATCGACAGGGTCAGGTCTGATTTCCTTGTCGTCTTCTATGATATTTCTTGGTACTGGAGATACCATTTCAGGCAATCTCTGAACTTCTCTTGGTCTTCCAAGAATATTAGTGGAAACTTTAGCATCTTGAGCCTTTGCTTTCTCTGGTGAGGTGATCGTCATTGGAGAAGCAGAAATAGGCTGATTGACTTGTTCTCTTCTTTTATATAAATCCATCAAATTTGATCTCGGAGGATCTATAGCAGCATCGTTAGTTTTTCTGTACGGTGGAATAATATGCTTAGACGGATTTTCAATAACATAGGTTGGACTTTCCGCTCTATCCATTAAAATTCTCTTAGGCTCTTCTCTTCTTTGAATATGTTGGACAACTCTTGGTCTTCTTTGAGCACTATCAAAATCTCTGTCATCATCACTTCTGTCCACAACAATTGAGTTATCTTTTCTTTCTCTTTCATATGGAGGAGTTATATCCGACCTGGTCTCGCTATCTTGATCTCTCACAGGCATCACTTGGATTGGGTGCTGATACGGGATATATCTTCCATCTGGCCCCTGGTATACCATACTCTGAGGATACCCTGCAAGAGGACCGAATGGAGACTCAGCAACTGGCATTTGATGAACTATTTTAGGGTAGCTATAAGGACTTCTATCTTCTGTTCTTCTTGTAGGCGACTTTGAATTGTCCTTGTATTCATCCCATCTTGAAGTCTTTGAATCTTTCTCTAATAATTCTGGAGTGTTTTTATTTTCAAATGCTCTGGAATCTCTTGCTCTAGCTTCAAATGAATCTCCAACTTCAGGCTTCTTAGAGCCTTGAGAGGTAGGAGAAAATCAAACCTCTTCCAATTTCTCTTCTTGGACAGTAGGTTCATCAACCCTAAAATATGCAGATTCAGGAGGAACTAAACTTTCTGACCCTCTTGGGCTAATCTGCTTTGTGAGGATTCTCTTAGGTTCGGCAAAAGCTACTTCCTTGATCTCCTCCTTTGGCTTATTCTTAGTAACAATCTCTGGCTGTGGTCTCTCAACAACGGGGGTTTCAACTGTTCTAAAATTCTCTTGAGGTCTTCTATGGAATACTTCAATCTTTCTTCCCGTGTCTTCATGTCCTTCTCTTAAAAATTTCATTTCTCTTTCTCTTAAGAGCTTTTGGTGGTCATTTCCTATTCCTCCATGCTCTGTAGCATGTGGAGCTTGTGTTCTATGAACTGCTCTTGGGTGTGGGTGATCGAACCCTCTCTCGAATCTTCTAGGCTCCTGGACATGGTGCACAACAGTCTGGATCGGCTGTTTATTCATATGTTTGTTGAGATTATTTATCCGAATCTCTTCATTTGCTTCCTCTATTTCATGAATATATTCATTCTTGATATATAACGGATATGATGACCAGATGTCAGGAGTCATAGCCATTGTGCTTTGGAGCCTCTCTCCAATCGCCCAAATACTGACTCACCCATGTAATGAACCAGCTACAAAAAACTTTCCATTTGGAGAGAAAGTGAATGAAGAAATTTCAAATAATCAGCTGATCTCTGACGCGAGATGTCCTGTTCCTACTTCATAGAACAAAATTCTAGTCCTTGAGCCTCTAAATGAGTTGTATTCCTCTGTTTTTAACATCCATTTTCTCCTAACTTGTGAGTCTTGATCAATAGAGTTGTTCTTGACTGAAAGAGCAAGATAAAGCCCTGATGGATCGATAGCAATACCGAGAGGATCAGACATTGTAGGTACCTTTCCTCTCAGCTCCCCAGTTTCAAGTTTAAAAATATAGAAAAAGCCTTGATCTGATAGAGCAATCAGATACTCGTTACTTGGGTGGATCTCAAATCCTGCAACTAGCCCTTCCAGCTCATAAGAGCATTGGAATAGCTTGGTCTTATACTCAGCATCGAAGGACTGAAGCCTCAAGCTGCTAGGCGAGTGAAGGGAGATGATCCTAAAATTATGTGCATTGTTTAGCCCCTGATTCATTCTTCCTGCCTGAGCCATCGTGTTACTAGAATTGTCTAAAATTCTTGCTTTAAGACTAATTTTAGTCTCTCTTGATAAACTGGAAATGTCTTTCTTAAATGGCTTTTCAATGCTTGAGAGGAACTCCAATGCTGTGTCGAAAACTGAACAAGAGCCGTCAATAAAGACAAGCAGGATGTAGTAACCGTTACTGGTAATAGAATTAATTGAAGTATCGGATACATTATAAGTATGCAGCTTTTCTGCACGATTTATTTCTACAATGTGAACAAAGCCTTGATTATCTCCGCAAAAGATCTGACTTTGCCTGATTGGATTATTACAGACACATGTTAGTGCAACTTTATCATGAATTGATGGCTTAGATCTATCTTGGATCAATTTATTGCTTAAACCTTCAGAAATATCAATACTCTTCGAAGACCAGACCCCAGAATCTGCAATTTTAGTCTTAGTGAGGCATAATTTATCAGAAACAGTGACTAAGGACTTGCCTGATTGGCTCACCCACTCAATTGCTTTTATCTCTTCAGCATGTTGAGACAAGAACATTCCATCTATTGCTTCTTTCCTTGTATTATACACATAAAAATTCTTATTTTCAAAGCTAATAAGGACTCTTTTTCCATTTCTTGAGCTACAGATTTTCTCAACTCTTTGAGCAAATAGTGATTCAATATCTTCTTGATCCTTAGTTCTTCTATCAAATGGCCTAAGAAGATTGGAGTTGGTAATTTTCTTAGAGCTAGAGCCTATAAGAGTGGACACATTATAGGTATGAACTGTTCCATTTCCGGTTCCCAAGTATAGGCTTTCTTGTGCACAACTGATTGAGGTAAATCCAAGGTACTCTCTTTCAAGCGAGCTGACGTACTTTCCATCTGAATCCAGTATCAATAGATTTCCATTAGAACTTAAGATAATAATGAAGCCGATGATATCAGAGGTGATTGCATCTACCAAGCTTTGTTTGACGTTGATCTTCTTATATGTGGTTATTAAGTCATCCTCAAAAGTCCATAATTTTACTCATTTCTCCTCAATAGTTGTGAATTTAAAGCTAGTTGTGGGCTTTCAGCCATATTCTGCATCATCTCTGTACCCTGGTTTGTCAAAATTGGGAATAGTTCAAATCGCTTTCAGGTCTTCATCCGTAAATTCCTCTGATTTTGCTTTGAGCGCCTAAAATTATTAAAATGATAAAAATTACAAGAAGTCCTCTCTCAATAGTCCAGATGGAAAGCTTATAAGAAGATCCATCTTCGTCTCTTTCTGCAAAGCAGTAATAGCCTTGGTTGTTGGAACTGGACATTACTTGGGTAAGTGGGCTAGAAGGATGATTCAATAAATATACCTGGTCCTATCAACAATTTCTTGAACACAAAGACCACTGTCAAGATCCCAGAGTCAACCAACTCCGCTTTTATCAATGCTATACAGCATTTCAATAAATCTGTCACGAGTCTGAATAAACTGGATGTGGATGACCTCATGTTGGTTATTTCTGTAAGCATATTTTAGAGTCTGTCTTCAAATTCCACACTATTATCATGCAGCCAGCATCATAAGCGACTACTTCAAGGTCGGGATGAATCGCTATATTAGTAATTACTAGAGCCTAAAAGAACAAAAATTCATCAAATTTATTTTCTCCTCATCTTAAACTTCCAAAGTGCTTTTATACCTTTATTAAAGGACCGATTCAAACTGCTCAGAGATATAAAGGGCACGGACATTGACTGTAAACTTTTTGGCCCAGAGTATTAGGAATGATTGACTTACCAATAGCTTTATATCCTCCATATGTATCCAAAAGGTAAAAATCAGACATAGTCAAATTTAAATTTAGAATAAAATTAATTTAAATTCAAGACAATTTAAATATTTTGGGGTTTTGGGGTTTTGGGGTTTTGGGGTTTTGGGGTTTTGGGG